AGGTGGAGAGGCAGGTAGGAAGGGACAGAAGAGGCTACCCATTTATAGGACAAGGAATCTGTACGAGAAAAGACTAAACACACACACAGACAGGTGTGTAGGAGCACAAAGCTCAGGCTTTTTTCACAGCGTAAACAGCAGATTTTAATCAGCAAACCTCACGTTGACCTACAGCATCTTTCCATGGGTCATCCAGCTTCAATTGCAAGAATTCAAGGAATAACAAGCTTCAGAGGTTGCTTGAGTCAACAAAAGCATCTTCCCATTTGCTTGGATGGCCTGCAGGGCCGACGCACCGTTTTCTCATAGCTTTCTCATTCCCAACCTGGTAGCAAAGCAGCCACAGCCACCGTTGTGCTGAGCACAGGAGTCGGCTATGGGGTTAGCAGTTCCTCTCTAGCCATTTCCACAACAGCCTGCCCAACTGCCCTCGTTTTCGGGAACTAGTGAATTCAGACATGCTTCCAGACTTTGAAACACAGCATAAACCCTACCGCTTCAGCGACTCTCCTGCTGCCTGAGTTTATACAGGTAGGCTGCCACAGCTGCAGTGTTGAGCTCTGGATCATGATGCTTTCAACTTATATTTACAGAAAATAAGCTCAGTCCAACTCAGCCGTAGGTGCATATAATCCCCACTGGCCAACAAAGCCCAGCCTCCTGGCCTCTCTGGAAAGCTGGCTCTGAACAAGCATTTAGGAAGCTGGCAGTTCTCCGTGTGTCACACTCCTGGCCCAGGTCTTTTTTTCCATCCTGCTCTTTTTATTCTCCTGTTGCCCTTGCAATGACCTGACGTGCTCCCTTTGTGCTCGGGTGCTGAGCCAGTGGGACCTGCTCATTTGGCGCCGCTAATTAAGTTCAACAACAACATTTTTTTTTCAGCGGTTCTGTCCCAACACATTTAGTTGGGATTTTAAATGCTTTAGATTTCATTCAGCCCATGTGCACGATGGTGTCACAAGGCTCTCGGCCCGGCTCAGTTAGTCCCGGCCCTGGAAGGGCTCCAGCATCCTTGACACAGCGCATATAAGCTCTGTGGCAGGGGGGCAGAAGGGGACGGTCTGAACAAAACAGTCACCCAAATAGGAGTTACCATGACTCCCTGTTTCTTTTAACGCACAACTGCCCCGGCCAGGATCCCTGCTGATGTCAGCCTAAACATGAGCCCTGACTGTGACAAACATCAGCTCCTACGCCAAAGATGGCTGGTATCCTTACGATGCTAAAAAGCAACATCTGGGAAGAAACTGGGGGTCTAGCTACCCTTATTATGAGTTAGTTGTGCAGCAAAGGCAAAATACTGATTTAACTCTTCCAGGTCCAGGGGAAAAGTCTGGACAATGAAACAAGGGAGATCTCCGTATGATTTTTTGCCTACAGAAACGCTATCCAAACTATGTGGGGCACTTGGGCTCCATAAAGTGTTTCTGAGCTGCATCATGGTTCAGTCCGTACCATATGCCTCATGCTTAAATATGCTGTAAAACAGGTCAATCATTTAACTACCTGCAGTTTTTAATTTTTATATTAGTTTTTCATTTTTCTTTTTTTGCTCCTCTTAACTGCTCCTGTCCCTTCAAGGAATACCAACAAACAGCCTGATGGAAAATAAATAGAAAACATGGGACGAGAGCGAGTTCCAGGATGTGGAAGGAAAACGTAGGAGACAAGTCCGAAAAAAAAGATGTGGACAATGGAGGTGCTGCCTTAAATATATGAGTAAGGAGCTTAAAACCAAATGCAGAGGAAAGTGGGATTTTAACAACAGGATTCAAGACTGAGAAAAAAAAAGAGAAGCAGCTTGACAGCAGCACCTGAAATGAGCAGAAGGAAAATGAACGAAGGAGGGAGATGAAAAGATAGCAGCCTTCAGTGGAAGACGGATTGCCAAGCCTCGCTTTCTTACGGAAATGTGGACAGAAAGCCATGCTACTAGCTAGGTTCTACTGCATTATTTTTAAAACAACGCACTGCCTTTCGAGCTCTGCAGATCTTTATGCAACATGCGAAGGAGCCAAGAGCCCAGTAAGAAGTCTTCTGCTCTGCTAGACAAAGACTGGCAAAATGTCTCTGCTACATAATCCACAGGACAGATATCTGTATTCCCAGAGCGTTTTACCTACTCAACCTTTCTGGCATAGAAAGGGGTCTTTAATTTTTGTTGCTTAGCTGCAACTCTGGACAATTGCAAGCATGGGTTCCTATCCAATCCTACACCCATGACCATCTTCTTGCATTTCTACCAGCTTTGACAAAACGAAGCTAACTTGTTCTTTAGTTTTGCAATTACATGAATTCAGCTTAAGAAGAGATTTTGGAATAAACAGCATTTAATAAAAACGCATGCTTCCTGGAAAATTTGGTAGGATCATTGACAGAAGCAGAGATCTGCAAAACATTAAAAAATAGGAATTTTCAGGAAAGGATATTGCCAAGGCAACAAGCCAGCCCAAATGCAGAATTCTGGGGGAATTAGGTTGCAAGATGCAAAAAAGCATACTGCAGAGAGTCTAAACCTTTTCTTTCATCCTGTCCAGCTCCTATCAACACCGAATTTGATTTCTGAACTGACTGCATCCTTACAGATCGCTTCTAACAAAATCTACTACCCTTGCCTCCTACAGAAAAGGCAAGAGATGCTTGCATAAACATGCGAGTCCTTGAGGAGTATGTATAGACATCACCTACAGGGAATAAAGGAGCAGGGGCACTGTGACCTTTCTGCAATGGTATTTCACAAGGTACCTTACAAGAAATGTCAGCGGTGTTTGTCCTTATTCCTACATTCCCTTCGGCACTTGCTGCTGGCCACTTGCAGAGCATCGGTACCGGCTTCCGTGGGTCTTTGCTCTTGCCAGTGTGCTCAGAGCAGAGGTCCTGATCAACGGAGACCATCCAAGAGGAAAGAAAATTGCACCACTGCCCTCTGATCCAGAGGATTAGGGGACCCTGGACTCTTGCCCAGAGCCAGATCTCTGCGGATACGAAGGGAGTAATAACAAGAGCGAGGACAAGAAGGCTCTTCAGAAAGTCTTACTCTGAATTCCCAGGACCCTGAATGGATGGGGACGGAAAAGGTATGTTTGTAAGTGTTTTCGAGATGAGCTCTGAGTTAAATTGGGTGGCTGACAAGAGCAAGGAGCAATAACTGTTCTCCTTGCTGAGTGGGACAGTGTTTGCCCACATGCCTAAGGAGGACGATGAAAGTTATGAACGCTGCAAAGCCCCGCTGCAAATGCTGAAACCGACACCGGCAGGGTACGGCTAAGACGGCGAGGGTTCAGCGGGAAGGGTACTCAGTACGGCCCCAGCTACAACCCAAATAAGGACTGCTGCTTCGACAAGCAGCTTCTGAGTGGATTTCGCAGGGGACCTTATCATGATATAGGAAACAGCACCTACTGAATACCAAGTGGATCGCTCCAGGCCTAGGGAAGAGGCAGTCCAGCCAAATCATAAAGGAAAAATATGCAATGTTCCCAGGGACAGAGCAAAACCACCCAAACTGCCCTTCAGCCACGTGCCACTGAGATGGCGAGGTGCAATAGGGCCCTGCAGATGAAGCAAAGCTATAAGCAGATGAGCAACGTGAGTGCAGACAAAGAAGGTACAAAATGCTCCATCCTGAGCCTACATTCTATGTCCTCCGGTCAAAAGTCTTCTACTTTGTGGAATAAAACAGAGCTGAGCCTTTTTGAGGTTGGCAAATGAGTGAGTGAAGAGATACTGTTTCATGGGGGTCTGACCAGATGACAGAGGGCAAAGAGGCGCAGATAAACATTTCTGAGATCAACTTCGGGATTTTGTCAGCTGCCTGAGTCAATATGAACACAACAGAAAGACTCCTGGGGGATGATCCTTTTCTTTTATTCCTGGGAAGTGATGTTACTGCCATGGGATTTAAGGACAGACAAGTTAAGCTTTCATGACTGAAGGATGAACTCAGTAGCTTCTTCCAAACTCAAGGAGCAACTCAACAGTGACAACGTCTCTGGATAAAACTCCTGCCAGGGAGTACTGTGTACGAGAACTATTTCGGGAGATAGGAAGCTTCTTAAATGAGTGCTAGGAGATGAGCCATAGCCCATGGTCCCTCTCTGCATGGGGCATGGGAACGTGCCCAGGGCTCCTCGGGGGTAGCTCCCTTTATTTTGGTAAAAGAACTGTGGCAGCTGTATGTGCAGTTTATGAACTTCAGTAGGACTCTGATGTTTAGACTTGTTAGATTTTCTGGGCTATTTAGTGATACACTGCCTCATGCGGTCCTACACCCCTGGAAAACTCCAAGCAAAAGATTCAGCATAAGGAAGTCTATAAGGGCTGCAGCAACCAAAATGAAGACATTCTTCACACACCTCTTTTTGCAATGTGACAAGAGATTAAATTCACCTAATGACAAAAATAGTCTAAACTTCTCATTTGCTGATGGTCTCTGATCTTGCAGTTAAAATAGGCTGTGAACTCTGCGCGACTGGGTCTGTCCTGTTTGCTTTTACAGTGGTTGGCATGCCAGGGGGAGTCTCAATGTCTCAAAGCTTGCCAAAATTAAACCTGAATTAAACTAATTACTGCGCAATTATTTAGCAGTGAATAAAAAAGATGTTACCATTGAGAAGAAAATAAACCACAGACTGAGCAGCCCAACTCCTGGAAAGCACCAGGGACATTAGTGTGACAAGCTTTGCAAAACACAGCCCTGGTGATCACCTGCCTGCTGGATTCTAACCAGCCAAGCTGGCAAACCTTGCTCCATGCACTTAAACCATAAAATTGCTGGTTTGTGAGATCTCATCCTCTTACCTGACATCATTACCTCCATGGGCAAAGGATCCAAAGCAGGCTGTTAAGATCTGGAGGAAGTGGAAAAGTAGATGGACCTGAGACTTGTCTTTCTCTTCCTTATCCTCTTCCACGGGATCAACTGGGGGACGGTTAGGATCTGCAAGTTCAGAGGCCAACTTCATTTCCACTCCACCTTCCTCTGCTTCGATCTCTGCCTCGGCCACTGCGTTGCAATAGCTGGAATAGCTGTCATAGCGAACCCGCTTCTTGGAGTAGGAAACAGTGTCTCCCACTAACTTCTCACTGTCCTCTGGAGTTGACGTATCCGCTGCCTTAAAGGAGGAATGCACGGGCATGCCACAAATAGCAGCTGTATAACAAGTATAACTGTTGTTGCGTCGTAACAGTTTGTAGTTGTTTTCTTGAGCGGGCCTCTCATCAGTGGCCCTGTCCAGGTGTATTTTGTGGAGCAAGTCTTTGTATAAACCTGAGTCCTTGTGCACAGTGTGGTAAACGTGGCCGTCGCTCCTCATCTGGCCATCAAAGCTGAAGGTGCCATTGGAAACAGGTGATTTCACTGAGGTGTGCGTCATTGAAAATGCCCTTCCTAAAAAGGCAGAGATTTAGAGTTTTTATTTCTATGAAATGTAATACAGAAGCCCCCTCTCTCCCAATTTGTGAGACAATAAAACGGCAGGGATCCAAGAGTACAGGACAAAGAAGATCAATTTGCAATATATGCACTGAATAAGCTAAGATTCAATTCACTGCAAAATAAACTCCTTCATCTTCTGCGCAAAAAGAGCTTTGTTCCAGCGTTGGGTCTCCCCCAGACATGCTGTATGACCTGCCGCAAGTCACTTGGGATCACCTATCCAAAGGTGATACTTCAAGGTTAAACCCTCAGGTTCTTTGAAAAAGTAATTTCTATAAAATTCCTTTCTTGTAAAATAAGCTCTACTTTTTCTAAGGTTTTGTCTACGTTGAATAGGCATAATAAGGATTTCTGGAGAGGTAGTTTACTGTAATTTCATACTGAATATGAGGTCACCTTTCAAAAGTACCTATGTTTAAGAGACATTTACATAACTCTTAAAAATAATTAAAAACCCCAGAAAGCAAGAAAGTTCATGTTCTGCAGAAGTATCTCCTCAGCTTTTCCAACAATTTGTATGTCTTATTTCTATGAACATGATGATAGTTATTCCCACTGTATACGTTTAACATCAGTATATGCTGTAGGACATGTCACAGCTAAGGCAGTATTTCTGAAGAAACTATCTTTTCCATCTCCTGACTTCCCAGATTTCCACTATGCAACATTCAGAATTGGTTTTAGCTATTTTTAAACAGGAAGCACACACTTAAAGGGCTTCATGTTATGACTTATTTGATTTTGTAAGAATCAGTTGAATATATTAGGCATTTATTAACCAAATTACAGGGCTGTGTAGATGTTAGCAAAGTGATATCAAAGTCAGCAGACCACTAAGTGTGGGGGGGTGCGATCCCACCACACGGGAGAACAAAACGAGCTTTATGCACACAAGCCTACTTCTTATAAATATACGTTCAGAAAACAATGCGTGGGATTTTCCTAGTGGACACGCTCCAAACAGTCATACGTTTGTCAACTAAAGCCCAAATCTTTTCATCTCCTGTGGTAGTATGCTAATCATCTTTATGCTGAATTTAACCTTCATACATGAGCAATTTGTGTTCTCTGTATTTTTCCACTGCTTAAAAGGAAACACCATTAAGGATACAAAGTAAAGAAAAAAGGAAAGTAATTTGTGTTTTCAGCTGTTTCTAAAATTGAAATACAGCCAAACAAAATGTAAATGTTTTTAAGTCCTCTCTAGAAAATGTCACTTGTAAATGAGCATCTTTCCCAACAAGCGCTGAAGAGGGATTAGAGCTGGAAATCCCAAACATTAACTTACCATTTACAACAGAGACATACTTGCAGTTAAGAAGCCCTATCGAAACAGGGAGAAGATAAACCCTCTGTGTTGTCTTAGTTTCTTACCATAGGGTACACGCGGATGGTTTCCATTTGCAATAGTATCTGATGCCCCAGCAGCTTCTGTTACTGAGCCAGTAAGGGGAATAGTGCTCTCGTCAGATGCTTTGGCACCGGGAAGCTCTTTAAAGACTGGTGTTTCTTCATCTTGAATTTTATCAAGACTTTCATCTGATATCCTTGACAGTGCAGCATCTTTCTTTAACCGGCCTAAGGAAATAACAGTACTGTAATTTTAAACCCAACCTATCTGTCTTGCTGCTTATGTTTCCACTGTTTGCATCAATGGCATAGATCAATGTGGATACAATAACCTGGCTCCATTTCATACACATTCTTTATTTATTTCTAACACTTGTCTTTACTAAATTCATCTGAGAAAATTCTAGAGTATCTTTGTTTCTTCCTACAAAATTTGCCGAAGTAGGTAACTGAAGCGAGACACCAAGCTGCTCATTTATTGATGAAATCTGAATTTTTTCTCTGCGTTTTAAACACTGCATTTTTTGAGAGTAGCAAAGCAAACAAGCAAAACACTGTAAAGCTAAAGCTGTGATCAGCCCAACTTACTGTAAAGTTAAAGAAGTCACTTAAAGATAACCATTCTGCCAGATTTTTCCTCTTTAACATTTCCTTAATAAAATATAAAGCAGATTATATTCCAGGATTTATTTTCCTGTTTCTGCTAGGCTCTAGAAGAAGTAAGCACTGCAACAGATCGCCTAACATGGTTTTGAATGTCTACCACTGCAGGTTTTTAAGAGCAGGTTACACAAATACATGAGGAATAGCTTAAGTACATCCTGCCTGTGGGTGGGGACTGAGCTAAGTGACCTCTCAAGGGCACTTCCAGCTCTGAAATGAAATTTTCCGAGATTTTACATCACTCGCATTTCATCAAGCAACTACTTACTTTCTATTTTTCTCTTCATCCAGGGGCACACAAAAATCCAGACTAAGATGGCAAACACTAAGGATACGCCGACTGATATTAGAGCAATGGCCCACATTGGTAGTACCAGTCCCAGTACTGTGAAGACAAAGAAATAAAACCCAAGCAAACTGTAAATTAACATGACTTAATTATCTTAGGCAGTGGAAGAGCAGTCTGTTGCAGAAAAGCCTGTGTTCACAATGTATTCAAAACCAACATGAATGAGCCGATCATTTTTAACATGTCTATCAGTTAGTGCAGGATTTAAAGGTCTAGTTGACATGCAAACATTTGCAGGTTTAGTCTCCCAATTCTCTGTTACTCCACTGTGACCTTATTTCTAAAGAAGTCAGGGGTAAAACTCCCACATCAGGGCTGCTAAAACAAGTTTGTAGTGATTTTATACACTAATGCATGTTAAACCATGTTGCCCATTAGGGTAAGTATTTACTCAACCTTCGCTCTGGTCAATAAAGCCTGATGCTTAGCTTAATCTAAGCCATTATTTGCTTATGATAATAGCTTAATGTCGCACTTGAGAGGTGAGGTTTCAGTCTTGCAATGCGCAATCACGTCAATAACTCGTGTTCCTCTAAGTATCCCCCCAACAGAACTCCTTGTGCTTGTTCCATTAAATGATCAGACCCTTAATGAAGAAAGTGCTTGGACTCTCATCTTTCAAACCTGTATATGCACGCCTATCTTGAAACCTACGTGATTAATTCATCCTTTTGAGTAAACATTGTCAGGACGGAGGCCTTGGAGAGTAAATACATATTTCCTGAGTATCAAAAATGGAGTCCCACCTTTTTATTCACACACTTTAGAGACTGCTAAGCTGAAACAGAAGGGACATTAAGATTCTTATTTCATTTATTTTGCTTAATGAGTCACTGCAGAGTGCCTGACCTACTTCTGCAGTACAACTAATGAGGAAATGTTGGTTATACAGCTGATTTACTGTGAAACATCTTGGACACGTAGCCAGTTAGACTTAAGAAAAGGAACAGTCGAGTTATGTTACCCTCAAATGGGGAACTTCTCAAGCTTTTTATTAATTTCAGTAATGCTATGCTATGAAGTAGTCTACCAACTGCATTTATCTAGTACATCTAGTGCATCCGGTTTTAGAGAAAACAAATTTCTGTTCAAAAAAGGTCACTTTCTAAGCCTGCTTTCCTAATTCAGGGGCATGTTCAGGAGTCTCTCTTCAATTGCCTGTTCCTTCATGGCTCCGGGGAAAAATAATTTAAAGACAACATTTAATGACCAGAGTCTTCAATAAAGTAGTCAAGAGCATTGAACATCTTTTTTCTGAACTCTTTTCCTGCAAGTGCGTGTTTAAATGCTTAAGTAAAGTTAAATATAAACATATAAATGCAAATATATAAACATAAAATGTGTGAATATAAATATACAAACATAAATATAAAAAGCTAAGTAAAAGCTCAACTGTAAACACAAATTTAAATAAACATAAACATATCTGTGCACATAAAATATACAAAAATATAAATAAAGTCCTGAAAATGACATGTATCATTTCCTTCTACTGGTTGCAATGGAAACACAGCACCCAAGAAAGAAGATGCTTTCAATGCAGAAACAGGCTCAGGGCTTCTTACCATTGAAGGGAAAGAAAGAAGTAAACTTAATTAATAAGCTCCGTGCCCAATCTGCCAGAACAGTGACTCTGCTGGTTTCAGTGGAGCTATAGCATTAGACTGAGCGTGCACAGCCTACCTGCTCTTACCGCCCACTCTGAACCTTCCCTCCTTGATGCACGTATCTCGAATACCTTTGAGAGCTCAACATGTGCTCAGATTTACAAAGCCAAAGCTGGCAGCTCAGTATTTCCCCTTCCTCTAAAGAGGGATTTTATTTTTGTAGCTGTGCACTTCTCCACTACCTGGAGCGTTAGGAGGGAGTCACAAAAACACATGCACAAATAGAAGCATGATTTACTCTTGCTCTCATTAACTCCTGACGTAGGAGATGACCGTGCGGTGTCGACTGCAGGTTGGCAGAGCATCAGTATACACTGTGGGAAACCTCCCTCCCCTGCCTCCCGCTGCGGACGGCTCACTCACCTGGTGCCCCCGTGTACATGATGGAAAACACATTAATAGCTATTGTAGCAGCATAAAACACTGGAAGTGCACGGAGACCGTTGGGCACCGGGTCTTCCTGCATAGAAATCAAGGAAAAAAAGGAAACATGAGCTGGATTTTCCACCAGATTAATGTCAGCATGAATAGCCATGAGGAAAACACGTGCTCCCGAGTCGGTGCCAGGCAGGTGGAGTTTTTGGGTGGATGGTGAGAAAAGGATGGTGGCTTGTCTGGTTGCACCCGAATCCACAACGCTGGTCCTGGCAAGCACCAGCATTCTGGGGAAACTTGACACTGTCAATGGGAACCAGGGAGACAGGTTGTACTTTCAGGTCAGTTGCAGACCTGCTGCCTAGGGGCAGGTTTCTTTCTGCGAGTGTTTTCTTACCTATCTTGTCTCCAAGACAAGGAATCCCTTTCACTCGGCGTGACTGAAGGGTGCCGAGCAGGACAAGGCTTTGATATTTTTGGGACAGGGCTACAAGCATCAGTGCAACGCATCCATCGCAAAACCTTATTCCTAACCTCTCAGCTTCAACTGAGACAGCCTGGCACTTTCCACCAGCTAACAGAAATCTCTGAAATATTAAATGTCTGGCCATATTAAACAGGTAATGTACCTAAAGTGAGCGTGCGATGTTTAGCATGCCACTGTGCCTGCTGCCCACCGCGGTCTCGTGCCCTCGGTGCTCACGAGGAAAGGCTAGCTGACGGCACTGCGGAAATGCACCATGCGAGCCATGGAAAAAGCCTTTGTGAGGAGATCGCTTTGGCCTTTTGAGGGGCTCCGTGTGTTTGCAAAGAGCCTGGCAAAGCTAAGGGCTGGCTAATGTGGTTTTGTTTCCTGTTGCCATGAGCTATAAAAGAGAGCTGAGAGAAGGCTGCGGCCGCCCTGTGCTATGCCTCGGTCCCGAAGCGTGATGCGGCGTGGGCTGCATCCACAGGGCCAGCTGCTATTCACAGACATCCCCAACAAGGGCATGAACCCCTGCATCAGGCCATGGACTTGCAAGCTAAAAAGCTGCTCTTTTTTTATGCACAGTGCAAGTTGCTACCTGCTTATGCCAGAAGTTCTACAGATCCTACTACTTTGTGAATGGCACAGATGGCAGTCAGAAGACAATTTCCTTAGCTTGAACTTTTTCTGCTTTTATACCAGAGTTCATGTGATTTTGATGACTAATTTCTTAACTAGTTAGGTTCTGAAGGCAATAGAGGAATTTTTCCTCGTCCTTTATGCAACCTGAGTAATTTTAAATTCAAAGCTGGTCAAGTTTATCATCTGCTTTTATCACTGACAGTTATTTACATCAGAAATAAAGAATGATGAAGCTGAGGTTACAGGTGGTATTATTTATAGCAAAAGAATTAATCCCTCATCTGTTTATGTTCCCTGTATAACTGCTAATATAATGTCCCTTATTTTAGGTCATCGTCATGCGCTGCACTCCCCCATTTTAGCAAGTTGAATGGTGTGAGAGAAATGGAAAGAGTAGATAAAAGTGTTCTAGTTTCCAGTTCATGCTGGGTGCCAGGCAAATCATCTTCCGCACTGGAGATATATGGACTGATGTTACCTCAAAGCTGCCACTTTTGACTGAGGTCACTAAAACCCATCGATTCAGGTTTCTTGACAATCTAGGAAATATGCAGTTGCCCATCTTCTAATGTCTGATGTGCTAGAAAACCAAAGCTTAAAATTTCACTACTATGAAATACCAATTAGAGTATCTCCAAGGGAGGACTGTTCTGTTTAAATAACAGTCAGAACAGCTATCATAAGGCTAAGTCAATCCCAACCAGTTTGTACTAATACAGAAAAAATCCCAATGTACAATCCTTTAATCAAATAGAATATACAACATTAATTATCATGTAGCACCTTCTGAGCCTCAAATACTTGTAAAATTACTTACTCTGAACTTTCAGCTTTCAGCTAAGAGCAAGTACAGTTCCAATGGCTATAAAAAAATTACTAGTCTCCTGTCCAAAAAGCAAGCCACAAACCTTAAATTCTGGAAATGCCAGCACTCAAATGGGACGCTAGAACACAGCCTTCATACCAAGCACTCGCTATAATAGTGAGATTTCTTTACCTTGTTTAAAATGAAGAATCTAATCAGCACAAAGAGGACTCCAGACATCAAGCCAGACAACAGTGGGGAAATAAACCAAGAGGCAACTGTGTTGAAGAAAAGGAAAAATCAAACATGAAATAAACAGTAGTCTTGCACAATAGTTAAGTAAGTAGTTAACGAGCAATAGATTTAAAACAGTTCTTGTACAACTGGAATGAATGTTCCATGTGTTTACTTACAACTGGTGCAACTCAATGTCCAGCAACACTCATGAAAGTCAAAGTAATACTAGGCACTATTAGAAACATCAGCCAAAGCATTTCCTGATGATTTTGCAAGTTCAGCAATCTAATTAATCCGGAAAGTTTCTTGTAGTTTGATGCAGAGTGGACCAAGAAAGCCCTGTAATTTCCTAATCACCATGACCACGAATGTCGCAAGCAGGTGAAAAGCAAATGCATCTCGCAGGATGCCAGGCTGCTCGCAGGATGAAAGTCTCAATTTCCAAAATGCCACAGAAGCATCACCTGTGATGAATAGTGCGTGTACATTTTTTGTAGGCAAGGTTTGCAAGTGTCCGGGACTGATTTAACTGAAGTAGGTGACAAAACTCCCACTGATTTCAATACAATCGGATTAGGGCAGTGCTCTGGAAATCTCATCCAGAGTGATTTATTGTTTGTGGCACGGTTAACACATTGACTCTGCTGTCATTGCAAACTTTCTTATGCTTTCGACAGAATTAAAAAAAATACGCATTGCTTCAACTTCTCTAAAGCTTAATTGTATTTTCATGCCTTCAGCATCAAATCCTTTTAATACAGTGTTTAGGCTGCAACTCGGGTTACAAGGCTTCCAAAACAATAATGAAAACTCCTTCACATCCCTCCTTGGCTGTGCTGATCTTGGCAGTGGGAGGCTGTGAGTTAAACATGTGCTGTATGCCCAGCTTTCGCCTCCCTGAAGCTGGTGGGTGGAGAAACATGACTGTGGGCATTCACATGATGGCTAGCATTGTTGAGAGCAAGAACGAAGTAGTATGAGCTGCCACAAAAAGAATTAGAAGAGGAGGAACGTCACCTTGAAGCATGTCTCAGAGGGACAATGTCTCCTCAGCTTACTGCTGGGGAAGTGCAACTTGCGTCTTACTCCCTTCTCCACTGGAGACACACTGCAGCCCTTAAAGAACACGGCATCAGTGCATCTTCGGAATGACACGACTGGGGTGAGAAACAATTTAAGGAGGGAGTGCTATCAGCACAAAGTAGATTTCTGGGAATGTTTTTTGCAGGCAGTGCACACTGTTTCACATACCCTCACGTATAAAAGGAAACAGCATTTACCAATCTTGACAAGCTGCATCCACTGGACTCCCTGCGTGCCAATTGCCACCAGGGAAAATCCAATCGTAGCACCTACGATGCAATGGGTACCCGATATTGGGAGTTTCAAGAACGATGCAATCAGCTGCCAAACAGCAGAACCTAGAAAAAAAACAGTCATATGGTATAAACAACAACAGCAACAATAATGTCATGCAGAAAATTCTTCGCCATGTACCCACGTTCTTTAATGAGCGCTGCCTACACTCCATGTACACACCAGAGATCTCCTAAAGAGAGTTTTGTCCCTGTTCTGTCTCTAAAAGCAGATACTAAGACAGTTTAATAGCAGCTGTGAATGCTGCATCTTACTTACGACTTTTTATTACTAACAACTCTTTACACTGCACAACATTCTGCCTTTTTTTTTTTTTTTTTTGCAAGGCTTTCAGTATTTACAGCCTGTCTGATTAAATACACAAACTGCTCCCAGTCTGCATCAAGCTTAGGAAACCTTGTTCTTGAGAACTGGACCTGGAGGCCTCCCAGTGATCAGTGTGAGGAGGCATCCACCGTTTCACTAACGAACTACTCATGCTCCTAAAATCAGATGCTACCAGAGAAAGGCTCAAATTGTGGGGCAGGGAGTTTTTATGCCTCTTTTCAGTGACATGCGGCCATGAGTCCTCTATAGGAAAAATGGAGTGAGGAGGGAATAAGGACTCTCTCACTGCCTTCATTTGCAGCTCATTGCGGCACTGCAGAAATTCAGTACTGCAGAAGAGGCTTATCTTAGTCAAGGAGTAGCCAAAGATACCCGTGGCATAAGGAAATACGATCCTCTAACTTCGGGATGGTGGCTAACGGTCTATAAAGTAAATGCAACGTCTGGGGTCCCAACAGACGCTCCAAGGAAGGATGTATGCCAAGAGTGCAGGGGAAAAAAAAAAAAAAAAGACCCGAAGGACCAGAGAGGATGCCCTGTGTTCCTTTTCAGTCCCAACTTTTGGTAGCTGGATCAGAGCACAGCTGGCCACCAAGCCCTCCAGCACGCAGCTCCATGCTGCGACTCATTTTCACATTGCAAGGACCCAGGTTCCTTGCTCCTCTTGCAGCGGTGCTAACGTCAGGACACCAAAATCATTTTGGCAGTGACACAGCTTTCTGTGGATCTTGCCTAGTATTAGAGAATTCTTAGAAAGATCTCTTCTTCATCTTAAGACTTCATGGCCCTAGGGCTAAATCTTTATGTGTTAAGAGGCCCCAGTGGCAGCAATCCAACTGCTATGAGAGATCCCGTATTTTCGGGCTCGTGCCACCTCTCTTTAACAGATTTGCAGCAGACACAGGTGATAAAGCAAGGTCACTGAACATATGCTGTTACTCAAAATCTCAGCCTCCATCGATTCCAACAGGAGAAGATGGTTTGAAGGTCTCAAAACGGAGCCATCTGCAAATGGTGATTTGCTGGCATCATACGCGGCTACGTTTGGAAGTCAACCAGTTTGTAAAACTGATCTCTCCTGGGGTACTATCCCACAACAACTGGTACTCCTATTGCTCTTGGAAATTCTAGATCAAACACGGAACACCTGCTCTTTAATTTTTTGGCTTCCCTTCCACTGTACTAAAATAAAAATAAATACACTTTGAAACCTTTGACATGAACTTAAAGACCAGCAAGTGGAAGTGAGGTGAAAGAGAAAACAGATGGTAACATCTGTAAAGAGCCAAATAAACAGATAAGCCAGCCATAGATATGTAATTACAAAATACTCGGTCTAAAACATAGGAAAAATGCAACCAAGCCACAGCTGCACTGCAGATGTGTAGCGAGGGCTGGGTTTTTTGTTGGGGGAGGGAATAGACAGAGTATGGCACTATTTCTTATTTAATCAGCTTCACCTTGAAACCAAACAGGAGAGCAAGAGGGAAAGTGGTGGAGGACTGACGGGCAGTCTGAGAAGTCCAATGTGTGATCTAAAGAACTTTAAGGAGGCACATTAAGGAACAGAAGAAATTACAAATCAAGCCAGAGCAGGACTTTCCTGGGGCTTACAATACCTTAACTACCTACATCCAAGCTTTAACTCCTCTTTAACATAAAATGCATGTTCCCAATTTTTATCTTTGCAAAACTAACCTAGGAAGCAGGAGGCTCACTAGACCTGTCACAGAGTCCCAAATTCAGACTCTTCACACCTGCTGACACCGTGGCCGCACACCCTTTCCCCTTGGTTGCTCTCTCCCAAAGCAGGAGGTTTGGCTGCGGACTGCCCTGACCAAGAGTCGCCAGCACCGGCTTTTGGCTCAGGGTGCATTCATGCTCCCCTGCTGCTGAAGGCACTGCATCCATTCTCCCGAAGCTCCGGTGCTGCGTGCCAGCCGCGAGCCCCCGTCGAGTACCACACCACCTGCAAGACTGGGTTAGTACTTTGCTTTGCTAATCCTGGCTGAGTTGTCCTCTCTGTTGGTGGCATCTCCTTGGTCGCATCACTGCTGACTTCAGCTCCCACCAGGACCACTAGAACAACGCTCTGGCAATTCCTGACAATAACCTGACAATTAGTTAATGCTACAATTTACTCCCAAGAACAACAGTCCCTAACTTCCCTACCACCTAACAAACAACATTTCAATATGCTACAAATGATTACAAAATGTTACATTTAAAAATTTTAATCCCATTGCTCCCTGCTTCCTTTTTTCTTAGGAGAGAAGGTTGCCCTGAAAATCACCATCTGCTGTTTGCTGCGAGCATCAAAGGATCTTCCACCAACATCTGGAAAGAGGATACATTGACTTTTGGTCTCTCCCAGACTGTTGACTCCTTTAAGCCTCATTGAAATTCAGAAGCTAAGTTCATTCGCAAAAACATGATCATGAGGCATGAGAGAATGGGGAGGAAAATGCAGAGGAAAAAACAGAAAGAGGAAAAGAAAACATCCAGGATGGCTCAGAGAAAACACAGAAAAAAGTACCGTACAACCAGAGAAAAGCTGGAGATGGATTTGAGGAAAAAAACCATTGAAATCTGCAGTTTGCAACTTGTGATTAATTCTGAGATTTAAAATGTGGAATTTCTTCTTAATGCCCTTATTGGAGGAAGGGAATGCAACTGGTCATGAAGTTCACACAGGCTTATGTAAATATGCATGCAAATAAGTTGTTTTCTTTGAGCTTCTGGCCAGTTGCCTCCGCAGGGGGCATCTGAGACTTAAAACTTTGCCTGGCCAGGATCAGGACACCAGAAATAGATACAGAAAGGGAAAAGGACCCTTCCTTCCATGGGGACAGTGAGTATCAAGAACATGAAGGTCAGGAGATGCAGGTCACTTATCTTTCAGATGGTGTACGCTGCTCCCGGGCACACAGCTGTGGGAAATGATGGAGCTATCTCGGGAAGCAGAAGGCTAAATAGTGGAAGTGGAGTGGTACTAAGAAGGCACCCTACAGCTTGCGGGAAAGACCAGAAATCTGCAGCTGATCTTGAAAGACATTGAGAAAGAGGAACTGATGGGGAGTGCCAAAGAGCATTTGATGTGGTTTAAGTTGGGAACCTCACAGAGGGTTTGGGGAAGCGGCTGCGGTCCCAGAAGCGATTTTTCGCTAACCAACCCCTCTTCCCTTTGGGCAGGGGAAGGTGGCCAACCTTCAGGAGGCTCAGGAACAGCAAAAGCCCAAGGGAACCACCTCCCTGCTCTCACACACCTCGGACGAGTCCAGGAACTGGCAACTCAATGTCCATCTTGATCCATTAAAATTAAAAAAAAAAGCAAAAATCTGCCATTTCCCCAAAGAAATGGGGAAATAACTGCATGTAGTAGACCTCTGCATGAATTCACCTACCTCATGTGCAGGTCCTGCCTGAAAACTGTGGGGAGGTTAGAGAAGGTAGGTGCAAATAATATTTAGGTTAAGGAGGTTTAAGGAAGAAAATCTTTGAGTGGAGCATCCTTTTCAAACTGCGGATGCTGCGATGCTCATATAAATCACGTCGCCCTGTTGTGGGATGCCACTGACCTGCCAGAAGTGGTGCTGGGGTGGGCAGGGTGGCCCCTTGCCTGGGCTGCCTCTCCCACAGTGAAAGGGTTCCCTGCCTGCCGTCTCCTGCCCTTTAAAAGCAGGTTTGCTATTGATCCTTGAGGGAGCTCTCCAAAAGCTCACAAAGCCTCTTGTATATAAACAAAGAGTAAATACCATGGCTGAATGTTACTTACCTCAGAATATGCTATTTGTTCTAAACGGAGATTAAGCACGTGGAGCGGACTCTAAGGTACACTGAACTGCTGTCGGTTTGAGTCAGAAAAATTAAAAAGACCTTAAATGTGTGATCATCTATCTTTACTGCTCCCTTAGTTTTGCCATGGGCAAGTGTATGATTAATTGCAGTCACTCAGCTGGACAATCAGTTTAAGCAAATATGTCTGGATTTTCTGTAATTTTTAAAAACAATTTAGGTAATTCCTTCTTGTACGTATTCACTGCAAACTGCTATTTCTGTAGGATCTTCTGTACAGTCACAAAAGCTATGCTTACTTATTTTCCATTTACCGTCACAAAAATCTCCAAAATAAATCTTTCAGTACCCTAGGAATACATATATATGATGCATTAGGTTAAACATTTTTTTCTTCTATTAGTTAAATGTCTGAACCATTAAAAAATGTAAATGATTAGAAGCATTTAAAAAACATAAGAGACTAAAAAAGGAATACAGGCCCCTGCATTCACATAAAACCAGACGTGTAAGTCCAGAAGATGGGAATAACAACTAATTAATAATATTCACAACGAACAGGATGACAAATACACAACGAATGTTACTTGGAATAGGAAAGTATTACTTACCAACCATTGCACTCACTTCTCCTGCCATCAGCAGCGGGACAGTGTTGTTGTACAGGTTAACATCAATGATACCTTTCCGAATTGTTTCTCCTACTTTTGCTCCCAGTAATACTGAGCCAGTGGTTTCAAAAACTGAAGCCAAAATGCAAGCCTGGCGTAAAGTAACGACACCAGAGCCCACAGCTGTTCCGAAAGAATTGGCAACATCATTTGCACCAACTGAAAAGGCTAAAATAAAAGCAATGATAAAACCCACAATGACCATCCACAGGTACTCATCCATTGCCATCTTTCCCCAAACCGTAGATTAGCTTCCCCTTTGCAAATAGTTAATAGTCAAGGCTGGAGGGCACCGCAACGGATTTGGAAAGCAGATTTCTTGTAAACAATGAGTTCTCTCTGGAAAGTGCTGGGTAGTGTTAGAATGTGAAGAAACTGCTAACTGCTGATTTTCAAACTACTATAAATACTGTTCATTTGGCTGCCTTCGGTCAGCAGTGAAACACATTCCATATTTTGCTCCCAAACCGGTACAACTGCGATGTTCTGTCCTGCAACAGAAAAAAAAACAAAACAAAAAAAGAAAATAAAAGAAAATTAAAAAAAAAAAGAGAGGGAATACTCAGCGCAGCCCGTAACAATGCGCGTTTTCAGAAGTAAACAGATGATTTAAACCCATTAATGGGGTCCTACCTCGGCATGTGACTGTTCTAATCATAAAGCAATTCAGAAAAGGTTAAAGTTAGGTCACATCCAAAGTAATATGTTTCTTGCAATATCATCACTGACCGAGAAGATCTTTTGAGCAATTTCAAAGGATTTTGAAAGGTTGGGGTTTTTGTTTGTGTTGAATTTACTGAGCAGTGCAACAAGCCCTCTTTCTAGAAGGAGGATTCTTCTTGGCTCTTTGCACCCAGTGAATATAAGACGTGTAGAATATAAAGACGGTACCATACAGCCTGATTCCCAGCTGATGTATATCACCTAGCTGCAGCCATGGATGCACTCCTTTGAAAAACACTTTTATCTATATGTCTGTCTATATAGGAAATGCCACTGAAAATACTCTGAAGAGTATTAATATTCACCTATCACTGTTATCACCTGCCATGCAGTAAGAATACAATTTTCTTACAGCTTCTCAGTCACTGAAACAGCACAACAATCGCAATATTCCCATGTATCCCTACAGACCTAGAGAAGTCTATAAAAAAAGTTTAACTAAAAAGTTGAGCGCTCTGCTCTTTCCTATAGATGGTTACCAATGACTATCAGTTATTATATTCAAACCATTGTTATACATATCTTTTTGTACTTCTTTTGATAGCTTCAGTTTTATGGTTGCCTTTTGAATTGCATCTTAACAAGTACTTAATTAGTCTAATCTGAAAAATGAGTGAGCTCTTTCAAACCAAAAAATGGACAGAGAGGAAGGGACATTAAAAAATAAAACCTTCACCGTCCAAAAGACTGCTAAGCAGAGCGATAAGGCCCACACTGATGCCAAGATGGTCAAAAGCTAGAAGCAAATTTGCCCAAACCAGCTGCCTCGTCTCAGGGCTGCTTCTCCTCTGCCAGCGGCCACCACGAAGACGGGCCATGCCACCCTCTGCTTTCCTATCCATGTTGTTTGGCTCCAGAAAAGTGCCATTTGGGAGGTGGCAAGGGGTTAAATGAACATTTAGCAGCAAATACCCGTCAGCCAACTCCACACCTTTTAAGAAGCTTTTCAAGAGATCAGGGGATACCAGATGAAAAGCCCTGAGCCCACCTCCTGCTCCCTCTCAGTTTCCCCCCAGTTGCTTCAGTCCCATACGATATACCCACATCCACAGTTTCAAGACCATGTTTAATTTATTTTGATGACCCCAACACAATGTAGGTCCTACAGCAGCAAGGAGGAAGGGTCTTTGAAACCTCTGAAATAATGGCAAAATTAAAAATTAAAAAGATTTTGCATATTCCTGAGATGCTGGATCCTTGAGAACAACCAATAAGAAAATACCACATCTATACGTAAGCGTTTCCTAGAAACCCCTTAAGTTGATGTCAAGGATAGATACTTTCTCTAAATATACATATTCAACAGAAAAGATGTCCCTCTTTCTTTCTCTAGGTTCCAAACTGGCTGAACAACTGTTGCTCCAGTCTTTTCCAGACATGGAGCAGACATCAATCCTTGAATGCCTTGTACTCTAAAATAACATCTCGGAAGGTCTTAACGGCTAAAAACATTTGTATAAGGATTTTTATACTATGAGATAACATGAGAAAACGAAGCACCAATGCATTTTTGATGTTTGAAGACTCGTTGCCTTTTTATAACTCATGAGCACTCAGTCCATTGAGTGGAAAAGGACTTGACAGAGACAGAAAAGGTTAATGATATTTGGAAGAAATAATTAGAGTTAGCACTTGTTTGCCTGTGAAGGAAGACAAAACTCTGTTAAATTAATTCATTAAAAAAATTCCAGTATGTATATCAGATTTTTGCTAGGAGATGAAGTGCTGGACTAGCCTTGATCCTGGAGATTAATGACTAAATTCTTCATCCTGCATGGATTTACACAGTACCTCTGCCAAGTTAGCCTCAGTGCCCCAGTTTCCTCTCCTGAAAATGGGCAAAGCTGACTGAGATCCATGCATGCATCCACAGATGCTGTTATTATATGAGACCCGTTTGCTTTGGACTCGCAAGATGAAACACTCCTCTTATTCCCAACAGAGAATTTCTCTTTTCTCCACTTATCAACCAACCTACCAATTTACTGCGGTGACCCAATTTCTGGGATAAGGAAGAGCAGGGGGGTTGTGACATTCCCCCGCTGCAACGGAGTTCATGGGACAACGTTTGCCAAATCTAGCTCCTCCAGCCACAGCGAGTTCCTGCAGCTTCCAAAATAAACCACTAAGTCACAAGGTTGCCTTTATTAGCTTTCCTGGGAGCAGGGGGAAGAAGAACTCCAGATGGTCCCAAAGAAATTAAGACCTCAAGTGTGTGCATGTGTGCTCCTAAAACTCCTCGTGAAGGCCAAAGAGTCTCCCAAAGCCTGTCGGTGGGGCTCTTGGCAAAGGGCAGGCAGCTACATAATCTCCCTCCCTGTGAAATGGGATATACAGCCTCCGGAGAAAAGGATCTCTTAAGTAAGAAGTCACCTCTCTTGTCATTTTATGCAAGGTGATGGTTCAAAACAGAGCTTCCTCCAAAACTTGGGAGGCTCAACTTGACATCCACTGCGTTTGCACAAGTGACAGAGCACAGCAACGGCCATGCCTTGCCTTTAACATGATGAAAAGCAAAAGGAAAAGAGGAAAGGGAATGAACACGCGTTTAAAAATTAACAAGCAGGCAGCATTTGAATGGCTAGGTGTTGCTACTTTCAACCTTAAGTAACTGTAAGAAATGTTAAACATTTAAAGAAAAAAACAGAAATAAAAAAAAAGGAGCATATCTCTGCTGAGAAAGTTTTCAGAAATGTAAAATATCCTGCAAAGTAGGCCAGTGACTAAATACAGACTAAATCTTGTAGCATGCTTCTTTCTAGAGCCCAAAACACATCTGGCATGCTCAGACACGCTGAGCTATGCCCCTCATCACCTAATCTAACCCAAGAGCCTGTGGTATTTCATGTTACTGGGACGAAAAAGAAACTGGAAAAAACACCGTACAGTAGGGAATGGCAGATCTTCTGCTCTCTGCGTGACAGCTGGAAGTCACTAGCCTGCTTCTCTCCTGCACTCATTTATATTTCATCAACACGCCTGTACGCATGCCAAATGCAATTCAACCTGACCTGCTAGACGCTAGGAAATCCTCCCGTTTACCTGGGGGACCGATACCACCTCTCCACCAAGGCCTCCGCAGTCGGGTGCACTACGTTACTGCAGCAAACTCTGGGTGGAAAAGTTCATTTTCCTATTTATGCTTCGGATAACTCTTCCTGAACCAGCGCAGCCTGCACTGCAGCAGCCGTGCTGCAAACTCACCCTTGGGCATTAGCAAGGCAGAGGAAGCATCTCAGCTCCGGGGAGCTGCAGGACCTGAAGCTGGAGCATGCATCTCTGATGGCTGTTAGAGCGAAGGGAAACGCACAGAGATTAAATTCCAAGTTGCAAGAAGCTAATTCTGCGTTAAGGCAAGATTTTTAGCTAATACAGTTTTCTTATGATCCATTATTACAGTATCATACTTATGAGGTCTGAGTTGAAGCTTTTGACTGTTTAAATGGATTTAGAAACTTACAGAACTTGCATCTCAGTGAGAAAAGATTGATTTTTGGAAATGCTAAGCACGTCCCTCTGCCTCGCTGGCAGATGATCCAGACACCCGCCACAGACTTCATTTTGTTGCTAGCTAAACATCTTCTTATAACTCTGTCAACACAAAGTGCTATTTCTTCCGTAAGGGAGGGATGAAAACAAAACCTAGGTAAGGAAGCACCTTGATTCATGCAGAACGACAAGTGAATCCTCAGGAAAAAGTCAGGATCTCCTGGTAACGTCGAGATCATTTTAGGACATGTTTATATACAGACATTTACTAAGACAGCTCTTCTGGAAAGTATTCACAGTACACTTCTAAGCCTAGACAAGTTTTTAGTGAAAAAATAATACGAAATTTGAAAAACAAAGTTGTCAGTTCGTTTGGGTTTTTTTTGCCAAACAAATTGCTGCTAAAGAGAACGCAAAAACATCGAACGGTTAAATAAAAACTCGGGACGAAGTTCAAAGTCTAGGGAAGCAGAGCACATTACCCACCAGCAATCCAATTGTGTGACATAAAGGAAACAAACAGAGACCCCATAAATGTGCTTTTATCTTCTCTTCACAGAAAATGAAGGAAGAGCCTACTGCACTCATGAAACATTGACAGGTATACAAACGATGCTGTATGGAGCTCATACCATATCTAAATCATGCTGCGTGCAGCTCTTCTGCTCTCAGAAGTTGCCCCGTGCTGCAGTTGAAAACTTTCTCCTACTCCGGACGGGACAGAGATTCCACGAGGTCCTGGTTTTAACTGTTTTGTTGTTGCCCAAGTATGAGCAAAAATCAAAAGACAGCAGCTAGTGTAGCTTTTCTCAAGGTAACTCTTCCAACTACTCCACTTTGCATTATGACAAGACAGACAGGGAGGACAATTTCTTTTGCCCCGCAGTGTTGAAAGCAGCAGACATTTCATGATAGACAGTGGCACTGAATTTGTACTGACAGGCAGGTTCACTTCTAGTTACCAGTGACTGAAAAGTCTGTCTAAAATGCTTACCAGACAGCAGCTTCTAGGAGGTTATTCCATACCTCTCTAATTTCTGAATGTTGTTCTTTATATAAAACCGATCTGTCAGGCTTCCCACCTACGTATATAAACTCATACCAGATCTGGCATTCCAGTCTATTGGTACTAAACATAGCACTGCATAGAAACCAAGCCTGATTTATAACCAAAGCTACTAACATCGTTCACATCAATAATCTTTATCGTTTCCAGTTCGTGCTTGGGCCACAAGGCTCCCAAATTATCTGCTTTAAATTACTAATACTACACTCAGGA